ATGCCTGGCTAATTCTTTTGTATTTTAGTAGAGATGGGGTTTCACCATGACCAGGATGGTCTCGATCTCCTGACCTCATGATCCGCCCACCTCAGCCTCCCAAAGTACTGGGATTACAGGTGTGAACCACCACACCTGGCCTCCTGCAGGCGTCTTTTTTTTTTTTTTTTTTTTTTTTTTTGAGACAGAGTCTCCCTCTGTTGCCCAGGCTAGAGTGCAATGGTGCGATCTCAGCTCACTGCAGCCTCCACCTCCTGAGTTCAAGCGATTTTTCTGCCTCAGCCTCTGGAGTAGCTAGGATTACAGACATGTACCACCACACCCAGCTAATTTTTATATTTTCAGTAGAGACAGGGTTTCAGTGTTGGCCAGGCTAGTCTCGAACTCTTGACCTCAGGTGATCTGCCCACCTTGGCTTCCCAAAGTGCTGGGATTACAGGTGTGAGCCACTGCATCTGGCTGCAGGTGTTCTTATATGGGATTCTGTACACTTTTCCCCCTCGCTAGACTTTAAGCCCCACAAAGGCAGGGCCAGGAATGGCCTTGTTCCTCTTGGCATTCCCAGTACCTCTCTGTGCACTCAACTACCTATGCTGAGCCCAGGTTACTTGCCAGGCACATACAGATGTCGGCTTTCCATCCTCCTCAACACGCTGGAGCAGGCTGTGTTGCCCTATTATCCAGGTGAGGACAGGGAAGGTAAGATGCCACGTTCAAACACAGCCATTAAATACCAGAGGAGAGATCAAGACCCCATTCTCTTTTTTTTTTTCTTTTTTTTTTTTTTTTTTGACGGAGTTTCGCTCTTGTTACCCAGGCTGGAGTGCAATGGCGCGATCTCGGCTCACCGCAACCTCCGCCTCCTGGGTTCAGGCAATTCTCCTGCCTCAGCCTCCTGAGTAGCTGGGATTACAGGCACGAGCCACCATGCCCAGCTAATTTTTTATATTTTTTAGTAGAGACGGGGTTTCACTATGTTGACCAGGATGGTCTCGATCTCTTGACCTCGTGATCCACCCGCCTCGGCCTCCCAAAGTGCTGGGATTACAGGCGTGAGCCACCGCGCCCGGCTAAGACCCCATTCTCAATTGCTCTTCCCCTCATCCATTTCCATTGGCGCAGTTCTCCGTGAGGTTTGGGATCATATGGCCCGAGCTTCTAGGTTGCAGCAGGCAGAGCTGATTGTGGGGAGGTCAGTCCAGATAGGTTGGTGGCTAAGAAGAGGATGAGCACTGTTCCTCCTGTGGGCTTCTTACCACCCCTCCTGAAGCCATAAAAGGGAACTGATTTGAGGAGCAGGTGGAAGGTTTGGGGGTTGCATATTACAGAGTCCCAGTGTATGTCTGGGGAAAGGTCTGGAGATGCTCTAGAATGCTCCTCCCCTGCTCCCTGACTCACTGAGGCACAGCTACTCTTTGTTGGCTTTGCTGTGCCCACCTTATCTGCAAGCCTGTGTGTTCTTAGAAGTAATGGAAATGCATTTATTTAAAGTGCTCGATAATTCAGCCTTATTCTAATAACAGGCCTTTGTCTCTGCTCAGTACTCCGGGCTCCCCAGGACTTCTCATCCCCATTATCTTCTCTCAGCTCCTCAGGCTCCCTTGAGGTCAAGTGACCCCCACTGAGAGCGGGTCTGTGAGCCAGCTGAAGCCAAGATGGACAAGGACCTGTCCAAGGCCATCAGCGGGTCTACTTGTTGTGGTGGGGGTTAGTATTTGCACTACTCACAGAGCTCCAACTCTGTGCCAGGCCTCATTTCACTCTAGATGGCTGCAGTGCAGGCGATGAGGCTACAGGCCGGCCTGACCCTAAGCCTGTGCCCTTAGCTCCTTTATGATGTACCTTCTCTGTGCTAAGCACAGGCTTTGACCTGGAGGAGCTCCCATCCTGGGGGACAAACACTCAAATGAATAATGCCCACCAAGGCAGGCCCTCAGAGAGGCCCGGCAAAGCTCCCTTAGCAGGCAGCACTTGAGGCCTCTCCTCCAGGGGGTCTCTGCAATGTGGGGTCAGGCCCACCAGGCAGGCTGCCTGAGCACTCAGATGCTGGCTGCGCCTGTCTGTGGGCCTCTGGCCTCCCCAGGCCACCTTCTGAGAGCACGGGGAGCTATGTGGGCAGGAAAAGGAGCAGGGCCTTTGGGTCCACCAGGCTGGTATTGCCTCCCCAGAGCTGGGTAACTCCTCTCTTCCCCTCCCTGGCCTCCAGTTTCCAATTTGGTACATGAGGATACTGGCTTTTTCTCCTTGAGTTATCCTTGAGATTAAACATAAATACATAAAATACTCAGCACATGACAAATTAATAAATGATATGTCTTAAAATAATCACTGGGCATGATGGCATGCACCTGTAGTTGTTGCTACTCAGGATGCTGAGATGGCAGACCCACTTGCACCCGGGAGTTCAAGACCAGCCAGGGCAATGTAGTGAGACCCTTCCTCAAAAAAAATTTTTTTTTTATTGTAGCACTCTTTCCTTCCTTCCTTCTTTCTCTCTCTTTCTTTCCTTTCTTTCTTTCTTTCTTTCTTTCTCCTTCTTTCTTTCTTTCTTTCTTTCTTTCTTTCTTTCTTTCTTTTTCTTTCTTTCTTTCTTTCTTTCTTTCTTTCTTTTTCTTCTTTCTTTCCTTTCCTTCTTTCCTTTCTCTCTCTCTCTTGCTCTCTTTATTTCTTTCTTTTTCTTTTCTTTTTTTGAGATGATGGCATCTTACTCTGTCACTAAGGCTGGAGTGCAGTGGCATGATCTTGGCTCACTGCAACCTCGGCCTCTCAGGTTGAAGCAGTTCCCCTGCCTCAGCCTCCCTAGTAGCTAGGATTATACGTGTGCGCCACCACGCCCAGCTAATTTTTGCATTTTTAGTAGAGACGGGGTTTCACCATGTTGGCCTGGTCTTGAACTCCTGAACTCAAGTGATCCACCCACCTCGGCCTCCCAAAGTGCTGGGATTACAGACTATGCCTGGTCAAATTTCTTTTTATTTATTTATTTATTTAATTTTTAAATTTTTAAATTTTAATTTTTTTTTTGAGACGGAGTCTCACACTGTTGGCCAGGCTGGAGTGCAGTGGTGCAATCTCGGCTCACTGCAATCTCCGCCTCCTGGGTTCAAGCAATTCTCCCGCCTCAGCCTCCTGAGTAGCTGGGACTATAGGCATGTGCCACCACACCCAGCTAATTTTTGTGTATTTTTAGTAGAGACGGGGTTTCACCCTGTTGCCCAGGTTGGTCTCGATCTCCTGACCTCGTGATCCACCCACCTCGGCCTCCCAAAGTGCTAGGATTATAGGCGTGAGCCACCGTGCCTGGCGGGGTCAAATTTCTTAATAAGAAAATACACCCAGATTGTTACCAAAATCCAGTCAGACTGCTTTTCGGTTGACAGGCATTCAGCAAACATTTACCTAGTGCTGGCTCTGGGCTCGCTTGGGTCTTGGTCGTGGGGTGTGGTTTCAAATGCTGGCTCAGCGACTCCCTGGCTCTACTCAGTGGCCTGAGCTCCTGGGCCTTGGTTCCTGCCTCTTGCTCGTGGCCCCTGGGGCCTCTGGTGAGACTGAGCTCATAAAGTGTCAGCAAAGTACTTTGTGGATCGATGCTAACTAATAGCAGTTCCCTGGAGCGGCTGTGAGTAGGAAAGACAACTGTGGAGGTTGCTTGGACCAGGCTCAGGGCCAGCACCCAGGGAGGGCCAGTGCTGTCCTCACAGTGCAACTAAGGAAGGGCCTGCTATCCCTTGTCCCTGATGCTTTGCTCCACTTTAGCCAGGAGTGGGTGCTGATGAGGTTTGCTGATGGGGACGGTGCTGTCTGTGGCCATGGGGGAAGAGGCTTGCCCAGCTAGTGGCAGAGCCAGGTGTAGATACCCATCTGAGTCACACACTGGGTCACATCTAGCCAGAGCTGGGGCCAGGGCCTGTCCTGGGATCCTCTTGTCAGGGATCACCCCATTGCCCCCTTGCCATCTCTCTAGAGGTTGCTGGCCTCTGCCCAGACACATAGCTGTCATAAATATGGCATGGTGGCTTTAGTTCAATGGAGGGCATAAATGGGGAGTTGGAGTGGGACTGGTCAGTGGAGGGTGTGAGCAAGACTCCCTGTCAGTTCTGCCCCAGAGGTAAGCCCTTCTCCATGTGTTTGACTGAGCTCAAGTCTGTCCTGGGAACTTCTATTTATTTATTTATTTTTGTTTTTTTATTTTTTTATTTTTGTCCTGGGAACTTCCGTGGAGAGGGAGCAGATGGGGATCGTGCCCTCAGGGAGCTCCTGGTGTGATGGAGGAGGCATGACCCTGTCCTCCAGGACACTCCTGTCTGATGGGGGCAACGTGGCTCCCATTTCCTGGGACCCCCTATGTAACAGAGGGGACACAGTCCTCTTGTCCTCTAGGAGCTGTGTGTCTGAGGAAGGAGGCATGGCCTCCGTCCTGCAGGAGACTTCAATCTGATGGGGGAGACGTGGTCACTTCTATCAGAAAGATTCCCTATTTGAGAGAGGAGCCCTGACCTCTGTCCTCAAGAAGGACCCCTGTCTGATGGCAGCTCATCTTGTCCTCTCACTCAAGAAACCCCATTTAGGCCGGGCACGGTGGCTCACACCTGTAATCCTAGCATTTTGGGAGGCCAAGGTGGGTGGATCACCTGAGGTCAGGAGTTCAAGACCAGCCTGACCATCATGGTGAAACCCCATCTTTAAAAAAAAAAGAAACCCCATTTTTGGGCCAGCCACGGTGGCTCACACCTGTAATCCCAGCACTTTGGGAGGCCAAGGTGAGCGATCACCTGAAGTCAGGAGTTCGAGACCAGCCTGGCCAACATGGTGAAACCCCATCTACTAAAAATACAAAAGTTAGCCAGGCATGGTGGCGTGTGCCTGTAATCCCAGCTACTCAGGAGGCTGAGGCAGGAGAATTGCTTAAACCTGGGAGGCTGAAGTTGCAGTGAGCTGAGGTCATACCAGTGCACGCCAGCCTGGATAACAGAGTGAGACTCCATCTCAAAAAAAAAAAAAAGGAAACCCCACTTATGGCCTTCACCTTTGGGCACCCCTTCCCCTACCTGATTCATGGGGAGCCCAGGTCCACAGGTAATAGCTAGGGAGTGAGCGGGGCAGTTATGAACTTAGCTGCTCTGGGGCGGGGAGGAAGGGAAGATGGGAGACTGTAAGAAGGCCCCCTGCAGCAAGTAAGGGTGACATAGAAGGCTTCCTGGTGAAGATGTCTGTATGAGATCCTCTGATGGACAAGAGGTGCCTGGCTGTGACAAGTACCCACTGGGGACAAGGGGCAGGAGCTTTCCCAGGCTGGAAGGGAAACTTGAGAGATCACTCTGGTGAGCCCCTGTCTCCATGCAGGCCGGACTGCTGGAATGGAAAGGGGTCTAAGGAGACCCTCGCCATCCTTGGGGAGACCCTCGCCCCCTGCCCATCTGTGTACAGGCAGAGTGCTGCCAGCCCAGGGACATCCGCCCTCCATGGCCTGAGAAGCCCGGAGGAGGAGAGGAAACAGGACGCGTATCAGGAACGCCTTTTCCTTTTCTTTGTAACTAACCCCTCACTCGGGGCTGGGGACAGCTGAGCCTGCCGGGCTGGCCCTGGCTTGCTGCTGCCTGCGGCCTCCAGCTCAGGCCCCAACCTCACAGTCCATAGCCTGGGTGCTGCTGCTAGGCTGGCCTCTTCACTCCACTGAATCTTTGGGCTCTCATCTGTAAAATGGGGTAAGACTTCATATCGGCCTCACCAGGAAGTTTGCTTTTCCTCTCTTTCTGGGATTTACATGATTTCTTCCTCTCTCCAAGAGATGTGCATTGAGTGCATCCTGTGCATCAGCCTCTGGCATAGGTGGGGATGGAGAACACGGAGGAACAGTGCGGGGAGGAAGGCTCTTTGGGACTTGTCTGAGGCATTGGGAAACATTGAGTAGAGATGTCTAAAGGCTGATGGGTGTGGGTCAGAGAGGGTCTAGCTGGAGACGGAGGTTTGTACTTACTAGCATCTGGTGGCAGCTGAAGTGGTCAGGTGGGTGGAGTTGCCCAGGGAACTCCTTGTCATGGGCTCTGGGAAGGGGCCAAGGTCAAACTCAGCTCTGGAGTCTCCTGAGAGCTGGGCACAGAGCACGGATGGGAGCCATGTGTCCAGGGCCTCCAGCAGGACTGAAATGGCGTCAATGGGTATGGTGACTCTTGTGGGGTGTTGAGACCTTTGCCTTTGCAGTGTGATGTCGGGGTGTGTGGGGAAGGGTAGACCACAGACCATGAGGAGGGAGTAAAGGGGAAGGTGCTCAGACATCCAGGAATTCGGTCAATAAGGTTGTCATTCTTTGGCTTATTTTTCTCATTATTCAGATTATTCCCCTACTGACTGAAGGGCTACTGTGGGTTGCACATGTAGTTGGTTATATGCTGTGTAAATGTTGTATGCGTGGGGGCTGTAGACAAGATGTGTGTGGGGAGTGTGATGCGTGTGTGTATGTATTTAGTGTTTGTGTCTTTCTGTGCATAGTGCGTAGAGTGCGTGCACACCACCACATTAGGATCCTTGTTCCAAACAGCAGGCTGGTGCTGAGTTGTCTGCCTGGGCTAGAAACTGGGAAGGATTCATCAAGCTTGTGAATTTCTCTTCTCTACTTAGGGTTACACTCAATAGTGTGCTGGTAACAACTGGTCCTCCAGAAAAAAAGGAGGATGGGGATTTTAGCATCTGCCAACTTCTGTGGTATAAATTCTCTGACTTCAGATTTCACTCTACCAGCATGAGGTCATTGAACATGGAGTTGGGAAGAGATAACAGTAGCCACCATTGTATAGCATGTCCATCATACAGGTGTAGTAGGCATAAATATTCTTGAGGGCATGATAGTGACATTAGTAAAATAATTAGTAAGTAATCAGTTTTGAAAATGCATTCCTGGACCAAGTGTGGTTTCTCATGCCTGTAATTCCAGCATTTTGGGAGGCCGAAGTGGGAGGATCACTTGAGGTCAGGAGTTCAAGACCAGCCTGGCCAACATGGTGAAACTCCCTCTCTACTAAAAAAAAAAAAAAAATGCAAAAAATTAGCTGGGTGTGGTGGTGCACACCTGTAATTCCAGCTACTTGGGAGGCTGAGGTACGAGAATTGCTTGAACCCAGGAGGTGAAGGTTGCAGTGAGCCAAGATCACATCCTTGCATTCCACATTCTAGGCTGGGCAACAGAGCAAGACTCTGTCTCAAAAAAAAAAAAGAAAAAAGAAAAGAAAAGAAAATGCATTCCTTTTGTTTTTAATAGAATTTATTGGCCAGGCATGGTGGCTCACGTCTGTAATCCAAGCACTTTGAAGGCCAAGGCAGGTGGATCACCTGAGGTCGGGAGTTCAAGACCAGCTTGACCAACATGGTGAAACCCTGTCTTTAAGAAAAAATAAAATTAGGCCGGGCGCGGTGGCTCAAGCCTGTAATCCCAGCACTTTGGTAGGCCGAGGCGGGCGGATCACGAGGTCAAGAGATCGAGACCATCCTGGCCAAAATGGTGAAACCCCGTCTCTACTAAAAATACAAAAATTAGCTGGGCGCCGTGGCGTGCGCCTGTAGTCCCAGCTACTCGGGAGGCTGAGGCAGGAGAATTGCTTGAAACCGGGAGTCGGAGGTTGCAGTGAGCCGAGATTGTGCCACTGCACTCCTGCCTAGCGCCTGGCAACAGAATGAGACTCTCTCAAAAAAAAAATAAAATAAAATAAAATAAAATAAAAGGCTTTATTTAATTGTAAGTTCACATTAAGATTTCTCTTTTTCTTTGTTTTAAACTTTTTCTCCCTCTTTTTTTTTTTTTTTTAGACAGGGTTTCACCATGTTGGTCAGGCTGGTCTTGAACTCCCAACCTCAGGTGATCCGCCCGCCTTGGCCTCCAAAGTGCTTGGATTACAGGCATGAGCCACCATGTCCGGCCTTTTTTTCCCTTCTTTTTAACGACAGGTCTCACTATGTTGCCCCAGGCTGGTCTCGAACTCCTGGGCTCATGTGATCCTCTCGCCTCAGCCTCCCAAAGTGCTGGGATTACAGGCATGAGCCACTGCTCCAGGAAGGATTTCTGAGCATCAGCACCATAACATTTTCGGCTAGGGATTCTTTGGGGGGGGTCAGAGGACTGACCTGTGCATCTACCTAGTAGATGCTAGTAGCATCTCTTCCCCAAATTGTGACAGTCTACAACATTCCAGACCTTGCCAGGTATCCCCTGGAGTGCGAATTCACCCCAGGCTGAGAACCAATGGTACTGGCTGTGTTTAACAACTAGCTCACAAAATCCTTAAAAATGTGACCCTTGGCTCTTATAAGCCCGTACAAGCCAGCTCAGCACACCACAGACACCACATCCAGATAAATATAAGTCAGCTTTTTCCCCAAAAATTATTTCTTAGGAAAGAACTGCCACCTTAGGCCTTAGCTTTCAGTCTATACAGAGTCCCTGACCATGGAAAACCCTCTTGGCTTCCTGACTGGTCCACAGAGCAGTGGTCACAGAGTCAGAGACGTGCTACCTTAGTGGATGTGCTGTGACATTTTATGAAATGTGAGAATAGGAAGAAATTAATGTTTTTGAATTAATATCTTATTTTAACATAATGTTATTGTATATCCTTAAAAGTTTGCATGTTGAAATTGGCAAAACAAACAAACCAAACAAAAATCCCCCTTTTTTTTTTCTTTTGAAACGGAGTTTCGCTCTTGTTGCCCAGGCTGGAGTGCAATGGCGCGATCTCGGCTCACCGCAACCTCCGCCTCCTGGGTTCAGGCAATTCTCCTGCCTCAGCCTCCTGAGTAGCTGGGATTACAGGCATGTGCCACCATGCCCAGCTGATTTTTTGTATTTTTAGTAGAGACGGGGTTTCACCATGTTGACCAGGATGGTCTCGATCTCTTGACCTCGTGATCCACCCGCCTCGGCCTCCCAAAGTGCTGGGATTACAGGCTTGAGCCACCGCGCCCGGCCCAAAAATCCCCTTTAAATAAAATCTTTCTGCTGGGGAAATAATGGCCCGTGTTGTGTCTGGAGCTCCCTATAGCTAATGGGTTCCCGCCGGAGCTGCACATCCGTGATGCTCATCCAGGTGGCGAGGCTGCTGCCTCTTGGCCCAGGTCCTGTTTTTTGCCAGCCTCGAGCTCAGGGCTTGGCTCTTGTTTGTTCATTCAAAATATTTATTTTATTTATTTATTTATTTAATTAATTTATTTTTTGTCATTCGAAATCTATGTACCCAGGAATATAAGTGACTGAAGTCACAGTTTCTGCTCTCTGGGGATTTGCCATCATTTCAGTTCCATGGCGTCCACTCAGGAGCAGCTGTGTGCAGGCCACATTCGGAGGCTCAGGGGACAGGAGGAGAGGGAGGGAAAGATGCACATGTGTGCTGGGTGCCTGGTGTGTGCCTGGAACAGAGCTGGGCACATCACACATGCCCCTCCTCCCGCCCTCCCACTGTGCTTCTGAGGGAGGGCTTGCTTGGTCTGGAGGGTCTGCCTTCCGCCGCCCTGTAGGTGCTCTGGGGATAGGACACTGGGGCCTGTACCTCCTGCCAGGTGGGATAGGGATAGATAAAAACAGCTCCAAGCCCAGAGATTTGAAAAATAGAAGAAAAGAAAGGAGGGAAATAAGAAAGATGAATGGAAGGAAGCAAAGGAGGGAGCAAGGGCAGAGGAGCCAGGGCAAGAGCACTTTAAGCCAAGGCAGTCAGGGAGGGCTTCTTGGGTGAGGTGATGCTGGGACTGTGTAAAGGATGCGAACGGACTGCAGTTGGTAGAACTGATGTGAAGGGTAGTACAGGAAGAGGGAAGAGCAGGGCACGCCCTGGAAATTTCTGGAATATGGATGTCTAAACTGGAAAAAAGCCAGGCGCAGTGGCTCATACCTGTAATCCCAGCACTTTGGGAGGCTGAGGTGGGCAGATCACTTGAGGTCAGGAGTTTGAGACCAGCCTGGCCAACATGGTGAAGCCCTGTCTCTACTAAAAATAGAAGAATTAGCTGGGTGTGGTGACGGCAGCAGCTACTCGGGAGGCTGAGGCAGGAGAATCACTTGAACCTGGGAGGTGTAGATCACACCTCTGCACTTCAGCCTGGGCAACAGAGTGAGACTCCATCTCCAAATAATAATAGCAATAAACTGGGAAAATAACATCATCAACTGTGTTTTCTACCCAAGACTGGAGGGAGACAGACAGCCTAAACATTTCCCTGTCCCAGCAGGGGTAACATGACCATCTCCTCCCACCCCCAAGGCATTCTCACCTGAGGGACATTTGGGGAAGAACTCTCCTTGAGCATGCGGGTGGGGATGGGACATGGGCCAGGATAATGACCATGATAATTTCATGGTATCATATCATCAACAAGGTCAGCTTCCCTGTGTTGAGTCCCTACTGGGGACCAAGTTTTTACACATATCCCTAGCCTCTGGGTGGATATTTTTCCCCATTCTCCAGGCAAAGGAAGCTGAGCCTCAGAGAGGATAGGAAACAGGCCTGAGGTCACACTGGACTCAGGCAGGGACCGTCTGCTTCAGCCTCTGGGCTCTTTTGGCTGCCAGCAACCTTCCCTTCCTGAACCTTAGCCCCAGGAAGGCTGGGGAGTGCTCAGGCGCCATCTGTGGGCTCTTTGGTATCCAGCTGCCACCCCGCCTGGGGAAATGTTTATAAGCCTTTGATTTTCAGATCTCCAGTTTCATGGGTTAACAGAAAATAAG